TGTTTTTCATCGAACAGCGTGCCGATCGAAACCTCGGTGTCATCATCAAAGAAATTGGTCAAGAACATGTCCTCCATGTCATCCCAGCCGTTGATACTTCCGGGCTTGAGACGGCGGTACCAGTCGAAGGCAGCTCCGCGAAGAGTGCCGACGAATGACCGCACCATGAGGGGCTCATTTCCGGAAATAATTCCTAAATGAGACTTGAAGTAGATTAAATGTTGGGTAGGGGAACCCTTTCCATCAAACGGCGTAAAGTTAATGAGATTAAACTTTGCCGGATATGGAATGGATTCCCACTCCCTCGGATATGGACACGGTATACCTGACCTTTTTACCTCTTGAGCATTCATCAATGCATTGATTTTGCTCTCCAAGTCTTTCATCTTTTTGTCTTCACTCGTTTCTATTTTCGAGTGGTTTTGGGGAGAGGTAATGTGGTCTTCTTTGGCATTATCATCTACCGGACCACTTCCGTTGTCGTTGTTGACAGGAGGAATAATGACATTATTCCCTTCCCGTTCATTCTCTTCTTGGTTCTGATGATTGGGTCGAGTGGGCTCCTCTTAAGTTGTAATGAATGCAGCAATGAATACAGCAACTTTTTCCGCAAACAGTGCTTTTTGCTGCTGCTGCTGCTGCGGTTGCGCTTGCACCTCGAACGTTTGATTTGCGTTCACGGCGTTCGCATGCGCTTTTCCTTTACCCCTAGGGGTGAAGTTCGGTTGCGGAGCGTTATTTGCTATTTGGCCCCTTTCCGCCTTCTTCCTTTTGATGAATCGTTCGGCTCTTTCCCCTCGCACCTTCAGGTCCTTCCAGGTCTTTGATGGCGCCGTTCCCATAGATTCAAGGATATCCAAGGTGAGATTGTTGTGACAGGTCTCGAGGATGAAATCTTCGCTGACCGGGTCCCTGCAATTCATCGCTTTATTTCGAAACCTTTTCACAAAGTTTTCGACTGTCTCACCATTTTTCTGTTTCTCCTCAAACAGAGTGCTGATCGAGACCTCAGTGTCATCATCAAAGAAGTTCGTCAAGAACATGTCCTCCATGTCGTCCCAACTGCTGATGCTCCCCGGCTTGAGGCGACGATACCAATCGAAGGCCGCTCCGCGAAGAGTGCCAACGAATGACCGTACCATCAAGGGTTCGTTGCCGGAGATTGTTCCTAAGTGAGACTTGAAATATATTAAATGTTGGGTAGGGGAACCCTTTCCATCAAACGGCATAAAGTTAATGAGATTGAACTTTGCCGGATATGGAATTGATTCCCACTCCCTTGGATATGGACACGGTATACCTGACCTTTTTACCTCTTGAGCATTCATCAATGCATTGATTTTGCTCTCCAAGTCTTTCATCTTTTTGTCTTCACTCGTTTCTATTTTCGAGTGGTTTTGGGGAGAGGTAATGTGGTCTTCTTTGGCATTATCATCTACCGGACCACTTCCGTTGTCGTTGTTGACAGGGGGAATAATTATGTTGACATTATTCCCCTCCCGCTCATGCTCCTCTTGATTCTGATGATTGGGTCGAGTGGGCTCTTCTTGACGATTTGTCAGAGTTGCGATTTGCTGGTCATGCATTTCCCTCATCTGCTGCATGGCCATCTCCATCTCGAACTTGAAAGCTTCTTTCTGCCGCGTTAGGGCGTCTTCAAGCATCTTGTTCATTTGTTCGGCGCTGATCATGAGTACCTCGCGAGGTTGTCCCTCGCTGGATACCGTGTTGTCCGAAGCAATCGCGGAGCCGGCATCTGATGCTTCATCTTCTGATGGTAATCTCGTCCGAATCCTACCATAAGTCCCTCGGGTAAGCTTCGTCTTCTGATGGTAATCTCGTCCGAACCCTACCATAAGTCCCTCGTGTAATGGTTCCGGACTGTAGGTGAGTTAGATACCAGGGTACCAACGGGATTGACTCGGGATTGTCCCCTGTCGATGCTCCTTTGCTGGCCATGTTGATGGTGACCTTCGGGAATTCTCTGTCTTTGACTATCCTTCTTCTTCGCTGGAAACGCCTAGGTTTAGCTTCAGACGTTCCGGTGGAAATTCTATCAAACACTGAAATTCTCCTTGGGGTTTGAGCGCAGGAGCATTCTGATAGCACTGCCTTGATTATGTTGGCGCACGGGCAGCGAGACTCCATGTCCTGCACATACTTCTTTCGAGATTTCCCCATACCACCAGCTCTATAGTACAGCTCATCAGCTTGGTAACTGGAGCAACCTATAGAGTGTTGGCATGTGCTCCTTGGTAAAACACCATCATCCTCAGATGAGTGTGTTTCCCTTTGGGCATGCGATGCTTTGTTAGCTTTTTCCAAAGTGGCCCGTTCAAGTTTACGTTTTTGTGAACATAAAAATTGAACGGGCTCTTGTATTTCGACTCGCAATCCGATGCGGTCGGTGATAGGGGCTTTCCCTTTCTCATCTTTCTTGGGGGGATTAATTCGACCCCCAGTTTGATTTGTAACTTGGGGACCTTTCAAAGGTCCCAGTCTTTCCTTGATAGGTACTTTACCTCGATTCTCCGGTAGAGGACCGAGGCGACCTTTCAAAGGAACCCTGAGTTTTGAATGATCCCCATTCATACCTGGCTCCGTTGAAGGTGCCGGATCTGGTTTTGAAGGAACTCGGGCAGCAACTCCACCCACTGGTGTTTGAGGTGCTGGTTTTAGCTTTGGCAACCAAACCCACTTGCTTGTAGATGGGCTCTTGACCACCTCTTCTCTCTGCATTCCCTCCGCCTTTTGTAACAGAGCTCGGGCATGCGCAAGCAAGGCGCGGCGCTTCTTGATTCGCTCCTCGAGCGTGGAGCGGTTCCTCTTGATGTGGATCCACTCACTCGCTCCTGTTTTGGAGGGGAGGTTGGTTGTTTGCCGTTGCTCTCGGCAGTACCTGGATTTTAGATCCTCATTGTAGCGGATCCCATCCAATGATTCAGCAGCTTTGGCTTGTTGTAGGGCGAGGCGTTGGCGCCGTCTTTGGCGAGCCCTCTTCGATGGAGCTGGAGTTGCATCATCAATCGCCTTTGTGGCGGTTGGATCTATAGCCTTGACCACACTGAACGACGCAAGGGCGTTGTGTGGTGCAAGTGTAGCGGCAGCAACGGCGGGATCTTGGATTGAGGAGTTGGAGTTCCCGCGAGCCCTTTTGGGAGATGGGTTCTTCCCACGCCTATTCGGAGAGGCGGATCTGGAGGAGGAGGAAGAGAGGTACTCTTCGAATTTTTGCTGGTCGAACTCGTACTCGACCTCTTCATTCACCCGGATCTTGAGTGCCGGTTGCGTCACGACGGCGTCGGTTGCGATGCCGTTGGCTCCCACTGTGGTCGCCAGCTTGTTTTCGGTGAAAGTCGCTGTTTTTATTGCTTTTGAATCTGTTACAACTTTAAACGTTACAACAAGAATGCAACAAAACAAAGATTACAACTTTATCGAAAATAAACACGAGATCCCGTTTTGGTGCGGTCTCGCTTGCGTGGGTCTTTGGCCTGTGACGGGGATGTTGATATCCGTGGACCACCGGGGCAATCAGATCCGGTCCGGATAAATCGGACAGAGTTTCGTCGATCCGCGTGAGATCTAGAAACTTCTAATCCAGAAATATCGGACAGAACTTCGTCGATCCGCGTGAGATCTAGAAGTTCTAAGCGTATACCTCGGCTAAAGCGAGGTAATAGCTCTTCTTAGTATTAACGCTAAAGGCTAATACTAAGGAAGGATGAGAACGGGTGATGAAGGCTGATTTAGACCTCTCCTCCTCGGTTGAAGTGCTCGATCAGTGTTTGCTGCAGCAGGGCTTCGCCGAGGCTCTCCAAAAATCCAGATCATTCCAAATGAGGTAAGGGGGTCCTATTTATAGGAAAACGGATTTTCCGAGACACCCTAGGGTGTCTCGGAAATTCCGAGACACCCCTGGGGTGTCTCGGAATTTCTGAGACACCCCTGGGGGTGTTTCGGAACTCCGAGACGTCCGTAGGTGTATTTTGATCGTTTTCTCCGTAGATTCTTCGTACGAACTCGGATTTGAGTGATTCCGGGTGCGTTGGATGCGTGACGAAGAGTTCGATCCGTTCTGATGGTTGGATTGTCTTTAGAGTGGTCGAGGCACGGAGGGTATTGTCCTTTTTGTGAGCAGTGCCGGGCTTCCGATTGGCACGGGTTTTCGTTATTCCGAAGTCTTATCCGCTCATGTAGCTCGTCGATTCACTTCAGTCGTTCGTCGACGTCGATTAGGCTCATGTGGGTCAGATGGTGATGTTCATTGTCGCCCATTAACACTGAACCGTTTGTGGAGACCTATAGGCAATTTTCGATGCCTACAATTGATAGGGATGTGTTCAAACAACGTAGCCGAATACAACGCGCTGCTCATTAGACTAAGTTTCGCCAAAGAGCTGGGGGTCGAATACCTTGAAGCTTTTGGCGATTCCTAACTAGTAGTCAACCAAATGCATAGAGAATATGAAGTCAGAAACTAGAGCTTGATTCTATACCATAAAGCAGCCATTGAGATGGCAGACTCGTTTGAAGGATTCTACATCGAGTACGTCCCGCGTATCCAAAATACGTATGCAAATGCACTGGCAACAATAGCAGTGTCTCTGGCACAACCTCTCGACACTGAACAATTGGCTACTCTAAGGACTCACCAACTACCAGACTATGCCTTGGATGCAAAAGAAGCGCACGTGATCGGAACTGTACTCGAGCCTCGAGATTGGCGATTCCCCATTATCGACTACGTCGTGCATGGTATTTTGTCATAAGGTATAAAAGAAAGAGACTCGGTCCGACGAAGAGCACCGAGATTTTATTATAATACGACGACCCAAACACTGTATCATCACACATATGACGGTTTTCTACTCTGATGCCTTTCAACCAGGGAAGCAGAAGAGGCTCTCAAAGAAGTGCACGATGGAACCTGTGGTGCACATCAGCCCTGTCCCAAGCTCTACGATCGTCTCAGAAGAATAGGATATTATTGGCCAACCATGTTCAAGGACGCAGTTGATTACGCCCGACGGTGTCATGCGTGCCAAATACATGCAAACTACATGCACCAACCCCCGGAGCATTTATACCCTTTGGCCACTTCATGGCCATTTGAGACATGGGGGATGGACATCGTTGGCCCTATTTTCCCACCATCGGCTAAAGGCGACCATTTCATCTTGGCAATTACAGATTATTTCTCCAAGTGGGCCAAAGCTATTCCACTTAGAGAAGTAAAGATGGGCAATGTCATCGCATTTATTAAACACCATATTATTTATCGATATGGTGTGCCGAGGTTAATCGTGCATGATAATGGCCCTCTCAGTAATGCCTTCATTAGATTTTGCAGGAAGTTCAGGATTGAAGACATTTTATCAAAGACATACAATCCTACTACAAACGAATTGGCTGAGGCCTTTAACAAAACAATCATAAAGATTTTATCAAAACTTGTGAGAACTAACAAGCGAGACTGGGATGACAAACTTGGCGAAGCTCTCTAGGCCTATCACACCATAGTCCGCATGCCTACTTGTGCAATCCCGTATTCTCTGGTGTATGAGTGTGAAATCGTCCTCCCGTTAGAGATTCAAATTCCATCCCTACGTATTGCTCTTGCAACGGGGATGATGACTAATGAACAACATCATAAACGTCTTGAAGAACTCGAGGCGTTAGATGAAAAGCGTCTAGAAGTTTAGTAGCAGATTCAGTTCTACCAAGTCGGAATCTCCAGGGCTTTTGATAAGAAAGTCCGACAACAAAGTTTTAAAGAAGGAGAATTGGTCCTTGCTGTTCGACGACCGATGATCCTCAATTCTAAGAAGAAAGAAAAATTCCAACCCAAATGAGAAGGACCATTCGTGGTAGAGACGGTTTATTCAAATGGCGGATATTGCCTGGTCACTCAAAATGGTGACAAGCTTATAGTGCTAATAAATGGGAAGTTCCTGAAAAAGTATTATCCGTAGTATGTTCGGGATAACCTATTTAATGAGAAGTTCCTAGAGAGCGCTATTCACGGTGTTCCTAAGGATAACCCAAGATCGGCTAACTATCCAAGATCAAAACTAATTGTCTGGATAAGTCATTCTTAATCACAATAAAAGGATGATTAAGAACCTTCCGCTATATTTTGGAGCCTTCTTTTGTTGAGATGAGATTTGATTACCCCATTCGATAAAATCCCTCATCGATCAAACCAAATGACGAAGGGCCCACCAAATTCTTCGTGGTTAAATCCACCCAAACTCCCACTGTATCCAAGCCTTTGACACTCCCACAGTTGAGGTCTGACGTGACATCGAAAACCCCCACTGAGTGATTTGTACAGGTCAACATTCCCATTGTTATCTGTATCTTCACTCACACTGTTTTTTTGGTCAAATCTTCCTATAGTTAGGACAAAAACCAAAATCCTCTCTCGATTCCTTCAATGAATGAGAAGTCCACTTTTAAAACCGGAATTCTCTTTCGATAAATGAAAAGGCCTCCCCCCAAGTTGAACGATCAAAAGCTATAAAAATTAGGATCGTCCCAAACCCCTACTTGGTTAAACCTCCCCATGGTCTACACCAAAGTTGGGATTTCATCTCGATAAACGAGAAAGTCATTTTCTGATTGGATAACCAACCCTATAAAAGTTAGGGTTTCCAGATCTCTTCGATTCTCGGAGTGGAGATCACACTCTAAGTTTCACCTTTCTAGATTCTCGAGGTGGAGATCCCACTTTTAGTTTCTTCTGGATCATGGAGATAGAGTATAAAATTCTTCCTCTTCAGATTTGGGAAATAGAATATAAAATTCTTTCTCTCCCGCATCGGGTTCGTCTTTACCCTAAAAGAAGACCTGGAGATAGAATATAAAATTCTTCCTCTCTAGATTTGGGAGATAGAATATAAAATTCTTTCTCTTCAGATTTGGGAGACAGAATATAAAATTCTTCCTCTCCCGCATCAGGTTTGTCTTTACCCTAAAATAAGACCTAGAAATAAAATATAAAATTCTTCCTCTCCAAATTTGGGATATAGAACATAAAATTCTTCCTCTCCCGCATCAGGTTCGTCTTTACCCCAAAAGAAGACCTGGAGATAGAATATAAAATTCTTCCTTTCCAGTATTGGGTTCGTCTTTGCCCCCAAGAGAAGACACGATCTTTCCACACAACCAAAATCCATGCCTTTTAGGCATGGGGGATTTTATCTCGAACCCTGAGTAGAGATAAGTCTATGCCAAACACGCGTTGCCATTTAGTCTTTTCTGTGAAAAAGACATCAGGATTCGTGCCTGGAGGAATTTATCTCAATCCTCAAACCGAGATAAGTCTGCGCCTAATACATACTGTCGGGTGGTACGTTCCCGTAAAAATGACCAAGTCTACGTATTCAACATCGTAGCAACCAAAATCCATGTCTTTTATGCATGGGGGATTTTATCTTGAACCCTGAGTAGAGATAAGTCTACGCCTAACACGCGTTGTCATTTAGTCTATTCTATGAAAAAGACACCAGGATTCGTGCCTGAATGAATTTATCTCAATCCTCAAACTGAGATAAGTCTACGCCAAATACACGCTGCCGGGTGGTACGTTCTCGTGAAAATGACCAAGTCTACGTATTCAACATCGTAGCAACCAAAATCCATATCTTTTATGCATGGGGGATTTTGTCTCGAACACTGAGTAGAGATAAGTCTGCACCTAACACACGCTACCGGATAGTCCATTCTCGTGAAAACGACGAAGTCTATGTATTAAAAATCATAGCACTAAGTCTAAAAGAATTTATTCTTTTAGCACAACATTACATGTGAAACGGGTTTTAACAATTCACATGCTAGCCCGATTCAAACGATAATCGATAAAGGCACATCAAATCCATTGATGGCTGAGAGTTTGCCAAAAATCCTATGTGCACCACGCAAGGGATGATTAAGTTTATATATTCAAAATCATAACGCTAAGTATAAAAGAATTCATTCTTTTGGCACAACATTACATGTGAAATGGGTTTCAATAATTCACATGCTAGCCCGATTCAAACGGTAATCGGTAAAGACACACAAAATCCGTTGAGGGCTGAGGATTTACAAAAATCCTATAAGTGTTGTGGTTATTCATCCTATATTGGATAATGATCATAATAAAGAGAAGAGCGCATTAAGTAAAAGACTTTGTTTCATTAATAAAGTCAAAATGAAAATATAAAAGTGGAAACTATCACTCCGAGTACAATCCGTGACTGATGATCCAAAGTTCCAACATAGAGAGATCATCGACAAAGCTCCGTTCGAGTTTAGCCTGCAACTCAGCCCGAATAAATCTTCAGATGTAACTAGTGCCTTCACAGCTGCGCTCCTCAGCTTAGCCAACTTCTCTTCTGCAGGCCCTAGCTTCTCCAATGTCTGTCTTTGAGAGTCTTCAGCATTGGCTAAGTCATCCTCAAGAATAGCGCGAGATTCTTCGGTGTACTTCAAGGCCTTTTTGAGTTTAGCTATCTCCTCGTCGGCCGAAGCTAAAGAGCTAAGTAATTCAGCCTTGGCCTTGTCCTTCCTCAAGAGATTAACCTTAATCTGCATAACAGAGCTCTCCTATGACTGAAGATCATGTCCAATGGATGCTCTGGAGTCATGCCACTGCTTCAACTCAGATTCCAACTGAGTAGCAACAAAAGAGGAAGCACCTCTAGTCCTCAGTTCCCCTAACTCTTGGGATTCATGTCCAGTACGGCAAGATCTGCAACAAGGAAATCAATTAGCTCTGGGTACCCCTCTTCTCTAATCATCGTCATATGGCGGTCAAGAGATCATATGTACTGATCAAAACGGAATCCATGATGAACGATCCTCTTGACCATCTTGCCCAAGAAGGTAAGGAAACTCTCAAGATCTATCCGGAACATGTCTGTGCCCGGATCGGTGTAAGATAGTAAGGCCATAATGCACTCATATGGAGACGGTGAAAACCCTACAAATAATCAAGCAGAAGAATAAGAGAACCAATTAGAGACTACATAGTGGTGAGGGATTACCTTCTCCGCCAATGGGTACGTGGCCAAGTAACTCTGCCTGGCGAGCGTGCGGGTTGACATACGGGTTACTCACCGTCTTATTCAGCTTAGAGAAGCGAGCCTCCATCTGGGTACTAAGTCTCTCATGCTTGGATTTGGCACGTACTTCAACCTGTGTGGCAGACTCAATGGAAGACTGCAATCTCGCACGACGGAGGATAAGAGGCTCGTCTTCTTCTTCAATCATCCCACCTAGGGTAACAAGTGTCATCTTGTTAGGATAAGTAAACAAAACCTCTTGCCTCGGCTTTAATGAAGCCGGTGGAGGTTTAGGGAAAATAGAGCGCTGAGCCGGACGAGCAAACGCTAGACTCAACAATTCAGAGAAGAAAGAGTCTGACAGACCTACCTCAATTTCTTCCTTATCACCTCTAGGTCTGATATCCATATCTCGAATGTCTTCTTCGGAAGTCTCCTCATCGTTATCGGTAGGAAGGAGCCCTCCTCATCCTCTACCCTATCTCTGCCTCTGCAGGAAAGTCTGACAGACTTCTTTCCCTGCTTCTTCAAAAACTCAGCATCTTGAGCGGCTTTAACAGTAGCTCGGACTAAATACTCAGCCTCCAACTCTGTGATGCCTCTCACATTTAGGAGCTTATTCGTGGAAATAAGCCACTTACAGCTGAGGAATGTAAGTTGCGGCTTGTGCTTGGATGCGGGGAGAGTGAAGGTGGCACCCGTGCAACCTGTCATAGTCCAAATCCATGTTCAAACATCGTATATAAGATCTCCCTCGGTACTCAGGCCTCGATTCGGATTCCCAACATATAGTTGGTCATAACTGAACTGATGAGCGAACTGACAGGGCAAATATGGCTCTATATGGCAACGACCTTTCACCCGAAGGACAAAGGTATCCGAGGCGGATGTTCACCAACCACCGGAAGCTTACCCAAATCAAGAGCTTGAAAACCCAACTCAAAAACCCTAAGTCTTGAACCCAAAAATCCTCAAGCCCTAACTCTTGAGAGAAGGTGATTTTTGGCCCAAATAGAGGAGATGATGGCTGAATTTTTGAGGGGTTATAGGTTTTTAAATGAGAAAAGTTTGAGGGAGTAAGAGTTCTTGAAGAATATGAGTTATGAGTTATGAAGAGTTTGAAAGAGAAGAGAGTTTGAAGAAGAAAAAAGGAGGGAGGAGATGAAATTCAGATTTAGAGGGGGACCACAAAAAACCCTTGTACAAAACCCTTATCTCTCTCTTCTCTCTCTCATAGGGTCGGCCCTATTCTCTCTCTATTTTCTCTCTCCTCTCTCTCATGAACCCTCTCTCTCTTGTTTGGCTGAGATTGTCTCGGCTAAACCGAGATTGTCCCGAGTTTAAAATTCTGTCCCGAGTTGAATTTTGTCCCGAGCTCGAAATTATGTCTCAAGTTCAGAATTCTGTCCCGAGCTCAGAATTCTGTCCCGAGTTCAAAACTCTATCCCGAGCTCAAA